ATTAAAGATTTTTAAAATAAATAATAATTTATTAGTATATTTTTGTTTTAGCCCAAAAACCTAAAAAGAAGTATAAACATAAAGAGCCATTATTTACTCATGAATACTTCGAAATAATGGTCAATAAAAATGATGAAGAAGTATGAGTTTGTAAAGTTATAGATGAAGATAGCACAAAATATATTACGGAATATAAAAATGTAGAAAGTTCAACAGAAAACCTTATTACACACCTTAGAAATAGCCATAAAATCTTAGATAACAAAAATATAAAAAAGGTATTGTGAATAAAATAAAGTGCATATAAATCTTGGTATAAGAAATAGTTGAATCTATAATAAAAATTTTACAACCTTTCTTATATAAAGGTTTATTAATAACTTTTTATATTGAGCAAATTTAGTATAAACTAGTTTTAGCTTGACTTTCTTTATATTGGGGTATTTATTTAAAAGTTTTGTAAATGCTATTAATTTTCTATTAAATTTTAAAATTACTAATTTTGTACGAAAAGTTCATCTCTATTCTCCCTATATTTAAAAATAATGTGAAGAAGTACTTCTAAAATAGATATTACTTTCAAATCAGCCTCTCTCAATAGTCACGAATGAAGCCTATAGGGAAAAAATAGAGGAATTCGACCTTTCTTTTATTATCCCAGAAGAAAAAAAAATTAGATATATAATTTTCAAAAGCTATAAATATAATTATGAAAATTTATTAAATCTTCTTACTCAAACTACAGAAAATGTTTCTTTTACAATAGATTTTTGGTTAAGTAAAGCTAAGTATAGATATCTAGAAGTTACTGCAATTTAGATCATGCCAAATTTTAAAATTAAAGATGTAATATTAGAAAATAAATATGTTCCCTCTTTACATAATAATCAAGTCATTGCAGATGAGCTTTATAAATGTATTAAAGCTTGGAATCTTAAGTATCATATAACATCAATCACTACTAATAATAGTAAGAATATGGTCTTAGCTTTTCTTGTATTAAACCAAAAAGAAAAGTATAAAAGAATTAAACATTTCTCATGTACAACTCATACTCTTCAATTAGTGATTAGAAAGGAGCTAGCACCAGCAAAAATGCTATTTGCATGTACAAAGAGGTTAATTTAATTTTTTCAATATCAAAAGCAAACAGAATGATTAGAAGAAGTGCAAATAAAGCTTAGTTATGCAGATACTGTTCATTATATTCAAGATGTTACTATATAATAGAATTTAATATATTATGCTTGGAATCATCTTTTTTTTTAAAAAGATGCTATTATTCAACTTCAAACTGACTTATATATATCAGTAGATTAGGATATTAAAAAAGATGGTAATAAATTAAGAAAGATTCTTCTTTTAGATGATGAGTAGGAACTAATAGACTAACTCATTGATTTGTTAATACTATTCGAAGAGACAACACAGAAGTTCTCAGGAAATACTTATGTAATATTGAGTAAAGTTGTTCTAACTATTAATAAAATGAAACAGGTTCAGTAACCTAGTATAGTAGTCGGGTTATTAGACTGCTATGAAATAGGTCTGGAGTTCAAATCTTACTGTCGATGAATTTGAATAATATCTAGACCTGTGTACTAAACTTACGGAAAACTCTACCTGTTCCCGAAAAGGAAGTCTTGAGGGATGTGACAAAACTCTGTAAAAAATAGCATTATACTAAGTCAATCATTGATATTAGGAGTATGATGTAACATTATATGAATAAATCTGCATTGAATATATAAGCAGGGGACCTGCATGGTAGAAATCTTAAGTTGGTGAAGTAGTACAGCTTTCGATGTTCATATCAGCTAACTTTGATCTAAAAAGAAACTGTTTCAAAGGATATAGATCAGGATAGGTACGAGTAAGTCTGTATCTATGGTAAAGTCAGCAGCACCAACCTGGCTTGGTGGCTAACTAGATTTGGGAGGATCTATCTCATGAAACATCTAGAGAAATCGATTAATACAAAACTAGTGGAGAGCTACAGTAAGAACTAGTATTATATGAACATCTACAAAGGTCTAAGCTAGATAAGTTCATAAAATGGGCACAGGCTACTCTAGTAGATTTGCTTTGAGGTTAACTAGAGCTCTGCAAAACTTATAATATATTGAGTATAAGCATCCTGAGAGAATCTAAGCTAAAGTCGATAAATAGATCTGTAATGAACTAGCTGACTTAAGTGGTTAGATGTTACAGTGATGTTAGTTTGTAATAGTATGGGTTAGTTAAACAGAGTATTTAAATAGGTAACTCACAGGCAGATTACAGGTATAGTAGTATAGTATAGTACTAACAGGTAATCTAACGCCTGCATAGCAGACTACTTAAATTAGACAATGACTAAAGTTGTATGTGTAGTTTGTTGTATACTCTTCATGTAATTACAAACTGTAGAGAAACCTCACGTAGAACCTTGTATATCAAACTAATAAAATTCACTCGACCATGTAAGCTATCTTAAAAATAAAAAATAAAAAACTATTAATAAAATGATTTTTGATTTAGCAAATGAAACATCAAGTAATAATTTGTTTTTGAATAAGGATATAGTATTTGGAGAAGAAATCTAATCTATTGACTTTGATGAAGAAGAAGTTATTAGCAATATTACTAAAAAAAAAATTTCAATAAGAAACCTGTTAAATACAATAAGTATTTTGAAAAAAGTCAAACAAACTATCTATAATGCATTAATTCATTATTAGAAAAATCCAAATGATCTTAGTTTGATAGTAGCCCTACTAGATCCTCATTATAAAAATCTTGATTTTCTAGATAATGACACCAAAAAACAACTAATTACTAAAAGCTTTATAATGAATTTAGCGAAGCAGAAGAATTAACATCTGAACTACCAATTAATCCAACAACATCTATTCCAGAATCTTTGATATATTTATATAAAGAATACCTTCAACAATGCTAAATGAAAAGAAAAAAAAAAGTAAATTAGTACTAGTTCAAAAAGTTATTGATGAAATCTTAATTTATTTATCATTAACATTGGTATTAGATATTGAGGACCTCTTATCTTAGTGGAAAATACAAGTACAAAAATTTCTAAAACTCTTAAAAATTGCCTAGAAGTATCTCGCAATTCTAGCAATATCAGTATTCAGTAAATAGCTATTTTTGGATGCTAGCATTCTTATTAATTCTAAAAGAATAAACCTGGATATGAATTTAGTAAGACATATACTATTTTTAAAAAGAAATATATGTAGAATATCTGTCTTTGCACTAGAATGGAATGACAAAGAATAACAACTTGACAAATTATATTAAAATTACTGAATAAAAAAGTTGGTTTTAAATTTCATAAAAAAACGCTTG